GATATCTCTGAAAATTATGTTTCAGACAGAGAAGGTCTTTTTATAAGTTAATACTGATTAACTTTTTATTATTTATTTGAGATCAAATGAAGACTATTCACAGCCTTTCATTTATAGACAAATGATTAAACTGAATATCAAAATCAGATACTAGAGTATTATCTTCAATACTTCATAAATTTTTATCAGAATGACTAAGATAAATAACTATCTTTAGCACAGTTTGTTTATAACAATTCACAATATAGTTCAATTAATGAAGTTTTAGCTCATATACTTCTTGACTACAGATCTATCCTCTAAATTAATATCAGTAATTCACTTTATTCAAGTTTAATTGAAGTAATTAACTGAGTTAAAGAACTATAAACAATATAGAAAAAAATTTAAAAACAGGTAAAGAAAATCAAAACTATATAAAAAATATACTATAATTTTAAACACAATACAAAACACTTTTATATGAGAGACTAAGTGCTTCTCAATATGAAGAACTTTTATATAGTCTATCTCACTAGAAAATTAAATTATAAATTTATTAACTCCTTTCAAATTATTGAATCTTAAAATATATAAATATATAAACTCTTTTTTTTACACTTAATATACAACATTCACTCTATCTTTCATATCTCATTGTTTGAACTCTATAAAATGAAAGATGATACTATTTCACTTTCAGCATCAAAGCTAGTGAATGATAAAGAAAAATTTCAAGTTGAGAAAATATTAAAGAAAGAGAAATATTGAGATAAAAAATAATATTGTGTATACTGAAAGAGTTATAAATCTTCTGATAATATATAAAAATCTCTTAAAAATATTTAAAAGATTAAAATATTTGATATTTTTAAATAATAAAAATCACAGTAATAAGTATACTGACCTCACTCTGAAAAATATACTAAGTATTAATTTTTTATTATATATACTTTCTTTTTACTGCTTTTTATTAAATGAGTTTTTTTTGATTATATGATTTTAACAATGCAAGTAAGGTATTAAAAATCATCAAGTTTTTAGAAAAATTTCATTTCATTATCATTTAAATAAGTCAAAATGCTCAGATGTACATCTTTAGTTCTCTCTAATTTACTATCTATTCACAATTATCACAGTCATCATATACTGCTCAGGCACAGTAATTCTTCTCTTCTCAAGCTCAATACTCTTCTTTTTAGTCAACTTAAAGTTTTTTATCTTTTCACATATAATTTTTTTCTTTATATTCTCTTATTTCTTATTTTTAGAGAATACTATCAGCATATTTGCAGTTTCAATTCAGCATCGAGAATGATGGATAATATTAATCAAAACAATAGTACAAGCTTTCACTAAATAAACAGCATAAGAGAAATATATTAACACTGCTATTAGATACAGCAGCTTGACTCAATAATATGAGATCTTCACTGATCTCACTTATTCTGCAAAAAATAAAAAGCTCTGAAGAGCAAGCAGCTAACTCAACTTAGAAGAGAGAGTAAGCTAAATAAATAATTATTAATCATCACAATGAGTAAAGATATTCTTAATACAGTAGTTAAAGACACATTATACTCACTCAGATACATGACTTATATGCAAAATGACAAGAATCACAGTGCTTCTCATGATAAAAATAATTATATATTATAGATAAATTACTCAGCTTGAGTAAGTATTACTTACAGAGAATATTTTTAATATAAAGTTAGTTATATAATCAATAATTATAAGTTATAACTCAGTAGATTTATCAACTGTCATCACATATATAATGATATCAAATGCACTAAAATAAAGAGAGAGCTTACTCAAAGAATACAGAAATTGATTCTATTATAATAACAGAGATAAAAAAAAATAAAAAAAACTTATAATCATATACAACAGTAACTGCAAGAAATTTATAATGATTACAATTGTGAAATTATAAAGAAAAAAAAGTTTAGAGAGTAAAAAATATCTTTTCTCTTCATTTTTATAGTAATAAATACTTTCATGATAATCATCTCATATAATTAGTCTCTTAATATGACTAAATAAATATCATAAGTATTATTCTTTATATCAACAAATACTTCACACTCATATCTTACTTTTATATTAATAAACATCTTATACTCATACTATATCTCTAAATTAACTATCTTTTAGAGCTGCTAAGATCAGCATCTATATAATAGAAAAGTAACTATGATATTAAAACTCTCTATACTAGCTTCTTGCTCTCACACTACTTATCTCATACTGCTTATCATACTACTTATTAAAGCACTTATCTTCACACTGTTTATCAAAGTACTTTAGAATCAGCATCTTCTAAAGAATAAGCATTATCTCAAAATTCAACAATTGAAATTAATACAGATTAGTACTTTTTAAAAATCAGTTCTTTAGTATCAGTACTTTCTAAAGAATAGAATAAGTATTTTATAAAATTCAAATTATTGTATTGCTAATTCTTTATTTCATAAAAGATTAAAAATAAAACTTATTACTACTTATTCATGTATATAAATACTTTAAATTTTCAAAGTTTTTTTAAAAGATTCAATGATTAGTTATTATTTAATTCTATATATATATTTTATTTATTGTTATTCTCTTCTCTCTATAGCACTTATAGTATCTATATACTTATCCTTTTACAATTCTAGTTATAGAGCTTTTCATACTTTTTTTTGACACTTAGTTCATCTATCTTAGTGTTCTTATACATTTATTCTTCAGTTTGTATGATAGCTTTAAGTAAAAAGAATATTCAAAGTAAATTTATAGTTATAAAATTACTTTTATACAATTTAAAGTAGATTCTTTTTTAGTTTAATACATAAATACATACATTAACTTCTTCTGAAATCTCATATAGTTCTCAATTCTCTTGAGTGATAATCACATCTCATAATATATGACAACTGAAGCTTCAGAGTAAGAAAGTTAAGAAATATTTTAAATATTATATATAAAGTTTTTTTAATTTAATTAATTAAGCTCTAGATCAGCTGATCAAAAGATATCAAATAATCATATACAATGCTACTATTCTGATGATAAAAAACAAGGTATTAAAGACTGTAAATGCTAAACAAAAGAGAAAATATAAGAAATATTATATATACATAAATCAAAAAGAGGGATTAATTATCCAAGAAAAGATAGACTATGTACAAAGATGCAATGAAGTGAAAAAAAAAGTGGTAGAGCAGTTTGATAAGTGATCACAAAAGTGAATGATATCACAATACAGTGAATATAGCATTGTAGAACATATTATTCATATATGCTTCAAGTATACAAAAAATAATTTTTAATATAATTAGTTAGTTTTGCTATCTAGTTATAGTGATATTCAAATGTAAAAATGTTGAATGATGAGAAGATGTATAAATAAATGACTCATATGTACAGATATCTAAAAATATTATATAAAGAGAGAGTAGAATTTTATCAAATAAATAAATCTTTTATTGATAATTATTATATTTTTTAAAAAAATAACTTTTAATTAATTGAAGAGTAAATACAAAGTTATAAGCTATTTAATTTTCTGATTACTTTAATACTTAATATTTTAACTTATAGTTCTAACTTATCTTATCATAATTAATAATTTTAATATAAATTCAGTTATAGAATTCATTTTATATAATTAATATCTTAAGTTTAATGTAGTATTATTGTTATTTTAATTGTAACTTGATATTAAAATATATTATTGCTTTAAAAATCTTATATTCATTATTATTTTCAAAATAATATCTTTAATAAATATAAAAAATAAGATTTAAAAAAATAAAGTTTTCTAATTTCTTGAGACTTTTTATCTTAAACTCATTTAAGAGTTTTCAAATTAATGTAGAATAAAGCTTAAAATGAGTAAAATTGACACTAATAGTGTGATCTATTGACTTTATTTTATACTGCTTGCTCTTAAAGATTTGAAATTTAATATTAAAAGTGTTGACTTGTTGTTGTAATTTAAGAAGTTTTTTATATATTATTTTAATATTTTTGTTTTTATTGAACTTTTTGAATCTTTCTATTAATTGATATATAAAATACTTTGATATTTCTTTTTGAAGTTAGACTTGAAGATTATTTCTAAAGAGTTTCTTTTATATATATTTCTTTATTTAATATTATATATGAGATATTAGTTTATAAGTTATTTTTTAAATTTATTATTATAGACTTAATAGATAACCTCTCTTAGAGTGATTGGAAACTATGAAAACATTTGAGATGAATAAATTAAATATTAAAAAAAATGTTAGAAGCACTAAAACTAGTAATATAAAAAAGTAAAAGTATAGATGTTAAGCTTGGCGCTGAGGCTAGGTTTATCTCCATCACGTGACAACGCCCCACATGTGATTGAGCGGATCAGTCATGATCCAGTCATGTGATCATGTGGGCTGTTTATAATTAGAGCAGACTCTGACACCTCTTTTTCCTCATCAATCTTAGAATTTCATCACATAGCAGTTAGCAATGCAGAGAGTTTCCTTCTTATGCAGCTCACATTCACTTTCTAACATAATTCTAAGGTTTCCTTCTACCTTTTCACTCAGGTTTTAATGAAAAATTCAAGTATCTTAGTTGAATTAAAATCTGCTAGTTGAGAGTCTGACAATATATCAGATCAACTGTTGAAGACAACAGCACTGTCAAAGACAACAGTTTAATCTGACATCAAATGACCACTGCAGGCTCTCAATCTCTTGAAAGAGATCAAAAAAATTGATGATACATTTTAACAAGACTGACTGATCAATCATACATCACAATTGAGAAATTTAGAGAGATAATTTATTCAGACAATAATCATATTTATAATGAGTTAACAGTGATCTTTGATGACATCTTTAATAATAAAAAAATATTAAGGGATACAATTACACATCTGAGAATGAAATAGAACAATATTATCAATCAGATCACTGTTAAGTAAAGTCAGATTAATGAGCTAATTGCTGAACATGATGAATTTAATCATAATCTGATCTGCATAATAGTCAGTAATCAAACAGCAAGTCAAAATATTATTCTCTCTGAGACTGCCAAGAGATCTGTCAAGATTGATGATCTGAAATATTTCACTGATGGTAAAGAGCTGAAATTTGAACACTGACTTTCTCAGATGAAGAACAAGCTCCAAAAGAATACCAATTATTACTCTACTGAATGTATGTGAATTGTGTATATCAAAAATCAGACTAATAAGAATATGACATGTCATATTGCACTCTGTATAAAAGAGAACTACTTTGAGTGATATCAAATTATGGAAGAGATATTTGAGCATCTCAAGTCAATATATAAGAATGTTAACAAGTTGCACAATGTCAAAAGTGATTATCACAAGCTGATTATATGCAATGAGAATAATTATTATAAATTTATTACAAAATTCTTACACCTGACAGGTGAGGTCAAGATTGTCAATAGAGACTACAAGACAGACTTCAATGATAAGCTGTTCTTTAATCTTCAGAGAATGATAGCAGTAGTCAATACAATCACAAATACATATATTGAGTTTCAGAAGATTTGTACTCAGGTAGCTTATATCTTTCAGATAATTAATGTTATTTAGAAGTCAAAGAGCTTGTAAGAAAATGAATCTAATACTTTCAAGCAAAATATTTTATAGATCTTTAATAGTCAAACTCTCTCTGACACCTCTGCTACAAAATTCTATATTATGAAGAAAACTATAAGCACTTATTCAGATATTCAGTGGTATTACTGCAAGGAGAAAAATCACATTACAAGGAACTACTTCATGAAATAGAAGTTTTAATAGATGATTATTGAGCTCACAGAGAATGGTACTTCTGAGTCTTTAGTAGATTTGAGAAAAGAGTGAGTCTAAGAGAAGACTTCATCTCAGATAGTTTAATAGTCTATAAGAAGTTTGATATGAAGAACTTGATTAAAGGAAAAAGCTTTAATATATCAATCAAGTTAGTCTATAATGAAATTGCTACTTCTACAAATTCTGTTGCTGATACTGAAGTGAATGATGTAAATTTTATTGATATTTGATATATCATAAAATTAGCAAGATTCTTCAATAGGAAGTTTCAAGAACTCCTGTTCAAATATCTCATGAAGAGATACAATGATGCCTCTGATAAAGTGATAGACTGTACATTGACTCTAAACCTCTAAGTGAATGATCAAAGATTTCAGAATATTTCTCTACTGATAATGAACCTAGACTAGCACTCTGTCATCCTGATATAAAAGTGATTGACAGCATAGAATATATAGCTTGATGTTAAAAATCAACATCTGATTTGACTAAATAAATAGTTTATCTCTGAACAGATGACAGAGTTGATGTTGAAAATAGTACTCTGGTCAATACTGAAGCACTCAGACTCTAAATCTAAGCATCAAATAGATGTGAAATAAAAAGAGATCAAACTGAACAAGAAGATTAGACAGGAGCATCAAACTCAGCTCTGTAGATTGAAAGAGACTAGTTTAGCCATGATACTTAAAACAAGGTAGAGATTGACCTGGGAGAAGATAGCATCATAGATAATAAATATAAATTTTATTGATACTACTTTATTTTATGATTATATAAAGAACAAGAACTTGACAGTCTTTATAATCAGTCTGTATAAAATTGATAAACAGCTTGAGAAGAAGTAAAGTTTAGTGAGAGCTAAGAATGAGTCTGATGAGAAGCTGATTTGCAACTTATCAGAATGATTGAAAGACTAGAAGAATTATTTCTTAAAGAAAGTATCAAATGAATTATTCTATTACAGAAGAATATTGATTTTAAAATAGAGTTTTAGCCTAACATTAACCTCATTCAGAGTATTGAACATGTATCTTTATATAAGATGAATCTAAAGGAACTAGAGATGGTGAAGACTTATCTCAAAGTCAATCTAGTAAAAAGCTTTATCATTTCAAATTTAGTCCTCTTCACCTTCTCAATTCTGATTATCTGTAGTGGGAAAAAGTTACAATTCTATATTGACTTTCACAAGCTGAATGTTATAATCAAATAAAATCAGTATTTCTTGCATTTAATATGAGCTGATAGACTGACTCAATGAGATAAAATACTTTATAAAGTTGAACATTCAGTAAAGATTTTATCACATTCAAATAAACTCTGAGTCTAAGGATCTGATCAACTTTAGAACTTGCTATAAGATCTATAAATATCAGATAATTCTCTTTGATCTTATAAATACCTCTGTCTGCTTTTAACAGTTTATTAATAGTATCTTTTTTGACTATCTGAATAAGTTTATAATAACATTTATGAATGATCTTTTAATCTATAGCATAAATATATAAGAGTACAAGCAGCAAATAAATTCAGTACTAGATCAACTAAAGATAATTGATTTGTAAATCAATATTCAGAAATGTGAATTTGCAGTTTAGAGAATAAAATATCTAGAGTTTATTATCAGTACAAAAGAAATTAAAACAGATCTAGAAAAGATAACTATTATTGTAAAATGATAAACTCTCATCATAGTTAAAGAAGTTTAGTCATTTATAGAATTTGATAATTTCTACTGATGATTCATAAGAAACTACAGCTGAATTGCAAAACCACTATATCAGTTGACAAAGAAGACTATCTCATTTATATAGATATCAGAATGTAAATAAGTCTTTGAAAAACTAAAGAAATAGCTGATGAAGACTTCAATACTATATTACTATAACTCTGAATGAGAGACTTATATTGAAACTGATATCTCTAATGAAGTAGTAACTGAGATACTAAGTCAAAGATTTGAAAATAATCTTTGACACTCAGTAGTCTTCTATTCAAAGTCAATGAATGATACAGAGCTTAATTATGAAGTTCATAATAAGAAAATGTTGACAGTGGTCCAGGTCTTATAATAATAATAAGCAGAGCTTGAGAGACTATAACAGAAGAAATGATTTAAGATTCTCACTGATTATTGTGCACTGAAATACTTCATGACTATCAAGAAGCTGAATATATATCAAGTCTACTGAGCAGAGTTCTTTTTTTATTTCTACTTTGAGATCAAGTATCAATCAAATAAGGTCAATCTGCTAGCAGATGCATTGAGCAGATCTGAGCTAATTATAAGACAACAGAACAGCTGTATACAGATTCTTCTAGAATCATAGACCTTTGATCTTCAGATTACTCCTTTTACAGGTATTGCTAGCATCAACTCCTCAGAGAAAGAGAATATTACTGAATACATAGTATATTTAATTAAGATAGTCATCTCAATTGAACTCTTGCAGTAACAGACAAATGATGAGAATAGTTCCTATATAATAAAAGATAATATACTATAATATAATAAAAAACTAATGATATCTATTCAGAAAAAGAAAATTTTGATAGCTAATCTACTATAGAAAATTTATGATCAAGCTTTAACAGCACAATCTGAAGAATAAAAGACTCTGACTCTGATGTAATCATACTATTAATGAATCATCTGGCAGATAGATGTTCTACACTACATTCAAAACTATTATATATATTAGATCAGTAAAGTTTTAAAAGATAAGACTTCTGATTTGCTAAAGTCATTATCAATATCAGAACAGATATAATAGCATATTGTAATAAACTTCATGAATGTGTTGAAAAGTAAAACAGATTACAATATTATTTTAATTATAGTATACTGACTAAGCAAGAAGACAATTTTCATTTTAATCACTTAGAGAGTTATAGCTCAAAAGCTGATCTAATTATTTATTCAATTCTACTATTCATACAATAATATATCTGATTTAATTATCTCTAACTGAGGCTCTTAGTTCATATCAAGCTTTTGAAATGAGTTTATACAGATTCTAGACATAAAACTAAGCTCTTAACAGCACATCATATATAAACTGATGAACAGATAGAAGTGATAAATCAATACATTGTCATCTGTCTTCACTTCTATATCAGTTACTATCAAGATGACTGAAATAAGTGACTACTCATTATAAATCATGTCTTCATAGCTACTTCAAATGCTTTCATAGAGATCTTCTTCTTTCTCATAGCAAATAAATATGAACTTTGAATATCATTTGACTGATAATCACTGATGAAGAAATTGAACATGAATAAGAAAAAAAAATCAAAAAGCAGTAAGAAGTTTCATTTATCAAATGAGAGAGATCTGAAATTAAGCAAGTAAAGATATAAGAATAACATAGAAACAAATGAAGAAACAGACTGACAAGTACTATCAAGAGTCTGACTTTGTAGTAGAATATTTTATTTATCTAATATTAAAATTATACAAGATGAATTGATTAAGCTATAATCTAGCAGAGCAGAATACTGATCTCTTCAGAATTCTGAAAAAAATGAGCAATGTCTACAAACTAAATCTTTCTGCAATAATGAAGATTCATTCAATCTTTTTCTCAAACAAGCTACATAAGAACTTCAGAGACTTTCTATCTGATCAGACTATTAGATCATCAGACTTAATTGAAATAGATAATAAAAATGAATGAGAAATAAATTATATACTGATCAGTTGAATAAGCTGAAGCAAGCTGTAGTATCAAATACACTGAAAGAAATTTGATGAGAATTCTTTATGATATCTCACTCACAACTTCATAGAATTATTATACACAATATAAAATTTTTATGAGGTCAATTCTACTAAAGCTGGACCACTGAAACATCTAAATAAATGAGTAAGAATATGGGAAACAGACAGCTATCTGAAAGATGAAGATGATGACAATTTTTCAGTATGATAGCATGCCTGTTTCTAGATCAAAGGGTGATATTAGACTTGATGTGATGGTGTAGAACAGGATTACGTCCAACCTTCTCGACAGCATAATCACCACAGGCTGAGGTGATTAGTCATCATACGGGCCAAGGTGATCAGTAAACAACAATTGCTTAGACAATAGCAAACAACCCCACAATTACCTTGTGTATGAATAATACATAAATGTGGCAATCACATGGCAACAGTACTAGAGAAAAATTAACTATATAAACAAAGTCTTCCCCAAACCCATCTTTTAGAAATCATCTTAGTATTTACTCAGATAGCTTATCTAATTGGCAATTGAATACCAATTCACCTGTTCCTAGCTGAAGCTGTGATATAATACTAAGATCATCTACTTTTCTTGCTCTTTTTAAAGCAGCTTTTTAGGTGAAAAACCTCTAAGAATTCTTATCTACTTTTGTTTTGAAACCTCTGAGAAAACTGCTAAGATGTCAAAAGCAGTTAGAGAATTTGATAGTTTATGAAGATCAGACTGAAATATGATGACTCTGACTGAGAAGAATATGAGGTCAAAGAATCTTATATTCAAGAAACAATTTCTTGAGATAATTGAAAAAAACTTAGAGTGAGTATATCAAGAAATTGCTGATCTTATGAATGAGGCAAGAAGCACTCTAGAAAGAATTAGAGTAGAATAAGATGAGCAGAGAAAGTAAGTGAGTGAACTTAACCAGCAAGTGAACAGTTTGATAGAGGAATAAAATGTTTTACAGCAGACAGTGAACTCTTTAGTCTCTCAAATCAAACTGATGAACAATTAACAGATATGACAATCAGTCAAACTTGATGACTCTAAGCATCTTATTAATAAGAAAGAACTGATATTTAAAAACTGACTCTTCTGAATAAAACACAAGCTAGCTGTCAACATCAATCACTTTTCAATTAAAGAAAGCTGTATTGTCTATATCAAAAACTGAACTGATGATGAAGCTATCAAACACTTAGCTTCAAGAATAAAGAAAGACTATTCTAAGAAGTTTAAAACAGCTGA